TTTCGGATAACCAATTTTTCGGTTAACCCGTCATATGCTAAAAATAGCCGATTTATCACCAGGGTGTGTAGGAAAAATGAATTTAATACAATGTCTATATAATACAGTTTTATTTCAGCTAATGAAATGTTTAAATGGGTTGGATAATAATCTAAACTAAATAACTGAGGTTACTGAAGCATTTTACATTACATATTACTTATATTTTAGCCCTGTATGATTTTATGGAACTGTTTCGGTTAACTTGGGTTCCGGTTTAATCATTAATTATTTATGTTAATTAGGTATTTCTTTGATAGTGCGAATATGTGATAACGTACATGTTATTTAACTTAAAATAAGCTCTATGAAACAGTTTTTTTGTATACAACTATCTTTCGTTTAAAAAAGTAAAATATACTAGTATGTTTTAATATTTGAGTATAAAATTATTGTAAAAATTAAATTCAAAACTTTGCCATCCTGAGTTATGATTTATCCATCTGTGATTTTTTTAAGGTTTTTTTTACCATTCATCTTTCCAGATTAGGTTTGTTAAGTCTTTCAATTTTTAAGGTTTATTTTATTTTATGATAGGTCAAGCCTTCTTTATCTGTGATCTAACCATGGGAAAATTATCTTATTAATGTATACCTTTTTCACCCTAGCAATTTCCAGTTGTAAAGTTTTCACATTCTATATAAAATTGTGATGTTTAATTGCTGGAAGCCCATTGTCTCATTTTTTTTTTTATAAGTAAATTTAATTTATGTCAAATTCCATTATTCTAAATACAACTTATCAGTAATTATCCTATATTTTCTTCTTATGACGATGTCAATTACGATATTGTATTTTGACTATTCATTGAATATTCATATCAGTTGTTTAACTATTTACTTTTATCAACTTTCATAGTTGATTGCATGTGAAAACTATTCAAGTTAAAAGAGTTATGAAAACTTTGAAACAGGATTTTCAGATTTTAGCTTTTGACGACTGGAATCAGCAACAGATGTTTTAGAATCTGGCTCAGTCAACAGCTGGACTATGTTTTGAATTAGAGCAGCTGAGAAAAAGTAAATAAAGGCTATATCAGTATTATTTTACTAAAGGCTAAAGCGGCCTTCACACTGGGGGACTTATTAATTATGCGTTCACATACAACCCTTTCACACCAAATAAGGGCCTTAAATATCTCAGTTATAACTCTTTTTATGCATATTGTAAACCCAAAAACCATAAAACAAACAACTAAAAACTCAGCTATTAATTGACGTATAGTTACGTCTGATGTCTTACTTGATGGCAAATTTTTATTCTTTAGTGACTTTGCCTGCTACTTTAAAAATATTCCTTACTAAAATAGTACAAAATGAAAAAAAATATAAAAAAATAACAAGGTGACGATACAATTGAGTTTATTATATATAGTGATGGTAATATTGTTGTATTTACTGTTATAGCCCACTACAGTAGAACTTCTTTAATTTACAATTTACCATACTTCGATGAAGTTAAAAAATTCACCTTTCTTTGGATAAAAGCCTTACAAAGAAATGCCTATTAAAATTTAAGATATTAATTGTCATAGTTAAGTTAATAACAACAAATTTTCAATACTGGAATGATTGTACTATCGTACAAATGGCTTTCTCTCTTATACTTTGACATTGTTTATAACTGACATGGAAATTCTATTGATTACCGGTATTAATTAAGTTACAATTTCTAAGTTTTTTTATTATATCTTATTTTACCTGCTGTGGAACAAAAAGAAAGGTTTGTGACAAATAAAGAGTTTGAGTTTGAGGTAGCTTGATAACAGTTTTAGCGAATTTCCTTATAGGGAAGTAGCTATTACCGTAGGTGGCACGGTAAGACCTAGACCCGGGACCGATTTACTTTTTCATTTTGATGTCCCCAGAGGCCAAAAACACCATTCGTTCAAATTTTTATATATGTATATATATATATATCTATACTATTATAAAAAAGAGGTGGTGTCTGTGTGTATGGGAAAAGTAAACGCGAAAACTACTGGTCGGATCGGGCTGAAATTCGGCATGATGATAGCTCATATTCCCGATTAACATATAGGCATATTTTTATCCCAAAAATCCTTCCGGGCTCCGCCCCAGTGGCTCTGGAGCAAAGGTTCCCATGTTAACCTTATGAGAAATGGAATTAATGAATCTTAACAGCTGTTTCAATTAAACAAGTTGGTTCTGTTCTATGATTTTCAATAGCATTAAAGTTACAAGGATTACCAACAGGGTGCAACACTAGCATTATTTCTTTTACATTTATGACAACAGCTAATTTGCAACCAAAAGGTGAGTGAGCGTAGCGAACGAACTTCAACCTGGAGGCGAGTGAGCGTAGCGAACGAGCTAACCTGAAGGCAAGTGAGCGTAGCGAACGAGCTAACCTGAAGGCAAGTGAGCGTAGCGAACGAGCTAACCTGAAGGAAAGTGAGCGCAGCGAACGAGCTCCAACCTAAAGGTGAGTGAGCGTAGCGAACGAACTTCAAAAAGAACCGAAATTTCTTAAACCATGTCCTCACTCATAACTGCTATAAGCATTTGATACTTATATGCCAACCCCGTACGAAGGACGGGTACTCTGCTAGTAGACTTATATATATATAGCTGACCCGGCGAACTTCGTATCGCCTAAGTTATAGGTTTCCCCTAAGACAGACCGATGGAAAGAAAGTACCGTTACGTTTAATTTTCAAGATGATCTCGTTCGCATCGCTCAATCACGTCCTGGTTGAAGTTCGTTCGCTACGCTCACTCACCTTTGGGTTGGAGCTCGTTCGCTACGCTCACTCACCTTTAGGTTGGAGCTCGTTCGCTGCGCTCACTTGCCTTCAGGTTAGCTCGTTCGCTACGCTAACTCGCCTCCAGGTTGAAGTTCGTTCGCTACGCTCACTCACCTTTGGGTTGGAGCTCGTTCGCTACGCTCACTCACCTTTAGGTTGGAGCTCGTTCGCTGCGCTCACTTGCCTTCAGATTAGCTCGTTCGCTACGCTCACTCGCCTCCAGGTTGAAGTTCGTTCGCTACGCTACCTTTTGGTTGCAAATTAGCTGTTGTCATAAATGTAAAAGAAATAATAGTGCTGCACCCTGTTGGTAATCCTTGTAACTTTAATGCTATTGAACATCATAGAACAGAACCAACTTGTTTAATTGAAACAGCTGTTAAGATTCATTAATTCCATTTCTCATAAGGTTAACATGGGAAACTCCAGAGCCACTGGGGCGGAGCCCTTTTAAGAATTTCGAAACGGGAAATAGTTTACGTCCGATTCGCATACCTACAGAATTTACACACCAAATTTCATAACGATCGGCGAAGTCGTTCCGGAGGAGTTTGCAGACAAACACTGTGACACGAGAATTTTATATATTAGATATATATATATATATATATATATATATATATATACGTCCGTGAACGCGATAACTTGAGTAATTTTTGTCCGATTTTGATGAAATTTGGTTTAAAGGTGTAAAGCGGGATAAACTTGAATGAGTTCGCAAACCAGCACGATCGGACCATGGGAACGGGGCTTTACAGGGGGTTTTATGGGGTAAAAATTGGTTTTTCTCACTTTTGACCCACAAAACACAAAATTTCCCGATTGCTCTTTAGGCCTTTTTAAAGAGCTTAAAAAAACAAATAATTTAGTATATAAAAGTATTTTTGTTCGATTGTTAGTAACGGAGAAAATTAAAAAAATTGTAAATTTAAAATTCCCATGTTATTCTTATGGAGAATATTGTCAAATGTTGTAGTTTGCTTGTTTATGGATATATTTTGATCAAACTTGGCAAATTAATTTTTTTTTGTACTAAGCTATCAATATTTTACTCAAAAACACACTTAATTAATTTCCTTGTAGCAGCAAACCTAGATACTCGTTAAACATAATGTTATTAAAATATATTTAACTGAAAATCAATTCAGACAAATGGAAATTCGCTTAGTCGGCAGGATTGCTGCGGCGGGGGTATTTACCATGATTGTAGTCATTAATAATTAATGATACTTACCTAAAATCAATAGTATGTTATAATTTTAATAAATTAAATAAACAGAATAGTCAGTTTTAACTGGACAAACACTAAGGCAACATCAATTTATCAGATAAGTGCCAGCTTAGTTTAATCCACTTAGGGAACTTGGAGTGAAGTATGGTAAAAGTTTGATTATTTAAATGGATTTTATTCCTCTCATTTATAACTTAAAATGATATCATCTTGATAGGGAAGCAGATGCTATATTTTACCCATCTTATCGTATGAGCTGTAACCTGTCCTACACACAGATCAAGTAGTCAATTAAAACAGATTTTCAATTAAATAGTTAGCATCAGCTGCTAGACTTCTTATAGAATTAAAATTATGACTTCCACATTCCCTTTCTCTCAAAATTACTTTTCTTCAACAGAATAACTGTGTAAAATAGTTGACTCAGAATCTTCACGTTTAAATATACGGTGAAGTTACTAATGATAGATTCAGCAACCTAAATAACCAGGCTGACTAATCGGCTCAAGATTTGTTCGTGATCGCAGAAAATGATGATGTTTGCATGAGTGAGGGGCGTAAACTTGGAAGATGTTCACAATTTTGACTTGTTTGCCGATGTTCTTGATCGTGAAGATACTACAAGAGAACACCTTTTGAGACTTCAAGAGACGTCAACAAACAGTTTTACTGTACCCGTGAAACATGTCTACAATTTTGATGCTAAAATAGAAAACTATACTTATGCGTAATCTAATTTGAAATGTTCAAAACTCATTAACACTTTAATCTGAAATGGTGACCATATAAATGTGTGTATTTTATGCCAATGAGTTATTTCTCGAGTTAGGAAAACACTGGTCGCCCATAGATATAGATAAAAACCGAAAAAAAGCAGAGTGTCAAAGTTGTTTTCACACCTTCCCAACTTGACCCCACAACTGGTTGTAAGTCTCAGTCCCTAATGTAGGCCTAATGTTGCAGAGATGGGAGATTGCACGAGGGTGACCAGATACTGGCCATCGATGGACAACCCCTGGACTCCAACATCACCCATTACCAGGCCATCAACATACTGCAGAAGGCCAGAGGACTGGTGGAGCTGGTGATCGCACACTACGACTGTCCAGAGCCACGACCAGCCAGTGCCGTATCCGACTCTTCCAAAGCTGGCTCTGACATGGTAAGTGGTGATTTGTGCAAAAATAGCAATGATCTTCCCGTAATATGCACTCGTCTTGTGCTGCTCAAGTGCAAAACCTGTGCTCGTCCCGCTCTCAAGTGTAAAAATTGTCATCTTGTCCTAAATTGCAAAAAGTTCACATATCTTACGCTCAAGAGCATAGATTGCACTCTTGATGTCAAGAGCTGTTATTTTGTTTTTAAGTTCAAATAGCGCACTAATCTTGTTCTTAAGTGTAAAAAGTTCATAGATACATCTGTTTAATACTTTTAGACCCAAGGATTATTTATTGGTAGCACTATGCTTATTTTTTCTCCTGTAAAAATAAATTTCTGGCGTCTCCTTTGCAATCAAACAAAGTATATTATTTAGTGTGAATAAGTTGTAAGTAAATAAGCTTTTTTTGTAGAGCAACAAAGTGCAATGCATTATTTAGTATAACATCCTAGTAAAAGCTATGACTTTGTGAAAATTCTACAAGAAAACTCATCGTAACAATATGCAAAACTACTATATTTTATTTTTTCCACTGTGTAGTTCATTGTGTTACAGTGCTCGAGGTTACATTTTTAAACTTTTTTTATAATAAATATTGGATAGAAGTTGGAAGTCAAGTCATTGAGACAGATTTTGATGAGTTTGTGGTTGGGGACAACTGGAAAAGCCCTCAGTGCTTTGAGAAACTTTTCTTACAATCAAGAAAAGGAATTAAGAAAGTCAGGCTTTGACTTTGCCAAAGTGAAACGCCGAGATAAATATTTGACTGATTTTTATTTATCTCTTAAAAATCGCCTTTCAGACTTGTAACTCATTTCCAAAAGGTTTTTTGCTGGAAAATATATATATTTTTTTTCAAAGGTATGAAAAAGGTCTACATTAAGAAAAAGTACATCATTATGAAAAATTGACCTAGAATAAAATGTGGATAAATACAGCATATTGTTCCTCAAAACACAAGGGACAAGAAATTACATAGGGTTTCATATGTTATTTGTAAGTGGGATTACTCTATATTATAAGCTTTTGTTTGGCTTTAGAACTCATGAAACTCATCTAACTTACTGTGTTTATTTGGTTTGCATACAACCTAACTGAGTTTTTCTAATATGATAGCTGTTTGTAGAATAACTGTTGTTTATATGAGTAAGTCACTTAAACTATATGCCTATTTCTGGTAAAAATTACTGTGTCACTGTGTGGAAAATGTTACCGTCATTAGAGGCAAAGCTCTTAAAAGAAAGAGGCTAAGTAAAGATTGTTCATTTAAAAAGAACTTTTTTTATTTGTGTGCCAGTTTTTTCTTAGTCAGATTCCACTATTCTTTCACCACTCCAGTTTTTTCTGACCCTTGGAAATTTTGTCCCTGTTTTAACTTAAATTTAGATTGTAGTTACATACACATTTTAAATTTTTCCAGTTTTAATGTTGGATTATAATTTTTCATTGTGTTCAAATGTTTATCAACTCAGTCCAAAAAATTTGTAGGTTAATCATGAGGTTAATCATGAAATAAGAATCTACTGTAAGTGAATTGAAAAATTAATTGATGAAAGTGTTAAAATTACGCTTGGACATGCCCTCTGGTTTCTAGTAGATTATAGGTAAAAATATTTCAAATTTGTTCGTAATGTTTCAGCTGAACACAGAGTGGGCGCAGGTAGAGGTTATTGACCTAGTCAACGATGGGTCAGGACTGGGGTTTGGCATCATCGGAGGTCGCAGTACTGGTGTGGTGGTCAAGACCATTCTACCTGGAGGTGTGGCAGACAGGGTATGTGTCAGTTGCTAGAATGTTAGATAGAACGTAGAAATACATTAGTGATTGGTGAGATTTGAACCCAGGACCTCAGGGACTAAGTCCTACACTGTGCCACTAGACCAGCTTGCTCCCCCAGCAATGCTAAAGTAGTAGTGTCAGGTTTCATAGTTGAGATGAACCTTAATAACCCTGGTTATCAATAAGAGGCTATAAGGGCACTATACAACTTACCCCTACTGACAGTTGCATAGAAGCTTATAAATCGCTAAAGCTTTTAACTGTTACATCTTTCTAAAGTCATGCAGATATTATGTACACATCTAATCTGGATGCAGAAGTCTATATTTCCATTCCTATCATACTAGAAACTACTGTCATCAGCCTTCCTATCCACCTTAGTACACAATTTGGCTGAAAAACCTTCTACCCTGGACGATTGATCACTAACACACTCCCAAATAACGTGAAGAATGAATCAGAAAACAAACTGATACAACAGCTTTGGGACCAGGTGGTACAACAACCTGATTTTTTTATCAGTTATGATAAATTTTATCTTTGTAAAGCAAGAAATACCCATATTGTGATGCTTGTGTGTTTCTATAAGAAATCATAGTCCAATAGAAAGCACTACGCGTAAACAAAAGACTTAAGAGGTACTAAATGGCCTTTTTACTATACTTGTAACGTAGAAAATATGTAGCGTAATTGTTACATTTGGAACTGCATGATAGGTATTGTAAAACATACCCCAATCATTATTACAGTTTTGAGGCTATTACCGTGAATTTGAATTATAATACTTAAGAGAAAGAGTAAAAGTGTAAAGTCAGAGTAACAAGGTAGGTTCAAAAGTTTTTTTGTTGTAAACTGTATAATTCTTTGATCGACACTGGGGAAGAAACACAATACAGGAATAGCTGGTGAAGTAATGTCTGTATACAGAATGTAACAACATCAAACAACTGCTTGGTACACAAGAGGACCTGAGTATAAACATCTCATATAAACAACAAACGACTGATGTTGAAAACCGTTCCTCCTGAGAGTTGGTCAGTTGGTCGTGAGTTTGTTCTTTGCTCAACTTGTAAATGGGTTCTCTTGGATTTTTGTCACTGTTTCTAGAGTGAATTCAACATCTTAGATCTATGAAGTACTTTGCTGTTAATTTTCTTATTTTATGATGATTAAATAGAATATATCTTTTACAGTTGAATCACATAGAAAAAAAATGGTTTGAAGCTATCTGTTAAGTTAAAAATAAATTAAATACATTTCAATGGAAAGTCAAGTGGTTGGTTAGGGATGTTTTGAAAATGAATAAAATTAATTTATCTTACATAAAAAAAAATTAGTTAAGGCACTAATAGGCCTACATACAAAATAAAAAGTCACAAAACTGATATTTAGTCATAATTTCCAACTTTAAAGAGTAGCTTGAAAAGAAATAAAAATCCTTTTAAAAATTACCAAAATGTATCCACAGTTGATAATCACTCATACTATGAAAAGTGTATAAAAATGTTGATAATTTATTTTACCTACGACCGTTTTTTAAAGTAGCAATTTCAGTCCAGTTCTTAGAATTGAAAAGTTTCGCTTTACAGCTGTTTACTTTCATATCCGCATAGTTTCATTTCATATCCGCATAGTTTTCTCATATCCACACAGGTAACGGACCAATGAGGTTCAAGTATTGAGAGAAAAGAATTAAAATTGTAATGCTTCGAACGTCAACTAATCAGCTGATCAGCTGATCAGTTGACCAATTTAATTGTTGATCCAACTTGTTCATGTTGATACTCGCGTATTCTTAATTAAGTTGGTAGAAGTCCAAAAATAAATGAAATATTTGCCGAATTGTACCTGATACAATATTATTTATGGTAAGAATGCTGCTAGCAATGTAATATTTAACGAAGTTTAACAAACACGTAATTACAGGAAATCAGCTGATTATACAACAAGTCGTTGCATCACTTTCAGTGGCAATGACAATACACGAAAACATAACCTCTCTAAAAAGTTATCAGTAGTTATTATTAGTAATTAAATCCAGATTGATAGTAATTAAAAAACGGTCGTAGGTAAAGTAGTGTACGCAACTCGCGTTAATAGTCTTTACGACACTCGTAGAAGTTTTTAAGGCACTCGCCAAGGCTCGTGCCTTAAATTTTCTGCTCGTGTCGTAAAGACTCACTTAACGCAATCGTTGCGTAAACTACTACTTTGGCATCCTGTTGTGAGTATCTCTAATGTCAAAAGCAACAACAGTAAAGATAGAAAAAACTAATTGGCTTTGTTAATTAGGAAGCAAAATTAACAATCGGGGGCTTTTAGACTTTGTAGTCACCACAATTTTGAAAATTACTTTTAAAAACTAGCCTAGTTCTTATATGAATTTGAAACTCTTTATCTTATAGAGAAGTTGCATGTTGAAGGCTGAATCCAAAAGGCTTTATCTCGCTTTAGTATCTGGAACAGCTGTTGTGAAGAGCACAGCTACAGAGAGAAACATATTTCAAGTTAGGATTATGACACTATATAATTGTGACACACTCATTTGATTGTAAAAAACTTGCAGCATCAGTTGTCACACTTCCATTTTGATTTTAACAATGCTACAACCAAATGATTTTGTTGCAAGTCTATATATAATGTGGTGAATCAAAATTGAGGATAAAAAAACTGAAATGGAAAGTTAAACACCAGAAGACGAACACAAACTACACACAAAAAACAAAAACAAAAGGCAGGAAGAGTGATTTCAGAGGAGGAAACAGACTATATGGAACAAGTGTAAAATATCGATTTATTTTGGACAATATATGCAATATATGCAATGGATGCTGTATACAGATGCTACCACCAACCGGGTTTGTCGTGAAAAGCGGGTTTTGTAAAACGGTAGAAGTGTCTTTTTACCGTTCAAGGAAGGCTCGACAAACCGCCATTCACAGTTAAATGACATGAGTGGTTCAAAATTGTCAGTAAAATGATTAATTGGATGTTGCAATGATGATGCGTATTGAAATATGATCGTTGTTTGCAGGATGGTAGGTTGCAGAGTGGAGATCATATTCTGCAGATTGGAGAAGTCAATCTCCGAGGGATGGGCAGTGAGCAGGTAAATTACAGTGCAGTATTACAGCTTGGTGGCTAAAGCTACTAACTGTAGATGAACCATGACAGTTTTAAAGCCCATATTCTCTTTAATTCCGGTTATTTTAAGATATAGGCCTCCCCAAACTTTCCATCTTCAACAGGTCCTTTGCTTTAACCATCTAACATCTCTCTCCTCTATCAATATCACTTTCTTAGTACTGTGATAAGGGGTCACATCTAAAGCCAATTTTAACTCTAAAGTGAATTGAAGATGAATTAGAATGAGTAAGATGTCAAAGTCGGTTTCAATCAGTAACAAAGCTGTACAAGGCATCTCACTCCATTCCACACTCATCCTTCACCCATATTTTAATTCAAATACACCCAGTTGTGCCCACATCTTAATTCATAATACTAGTAGTTTGTAACAAAACTTTATTACAGAGTAAGTGTTACTAACTCATTTGGCCATGATAGGTTTACATTTAAAAACAAATCGTTGACATAAACTCGGAACAAGAATGGTCCAACATTTGAACCTTGAGGAACACCAAAATTTATTTTTCATCAGACTCACGCAAGCGTCTTGTCTTTGAATAATTCTTTTGCTAGGGCTGGTCGATAAAGATAAGGATATCTCCTTCATCAGCCAAATGGTAATGTTATATATATAAATGCTTGTTTTATACCTGGTAATTTGATGTTAGTAAACTAAACTGTATATTTTGTTTTCAAGGTGGCAGCAGTGCTCCGTCAATCTGGCAGTCATGTGAGACTTGTGGTAGCTCGTCCTGTCGAACCAACATCGCCAGAATACCAGGTGATTGGGGTCTATGCTGAGTAAAAAAAAATAATTAAATCTTTAATAATAAAAAAAGTTTGTATTAGTCATCTAGTAATTAGTAGTTTAGTCAGCTTCAATAATCCAGCTCTCTAGTTCTTTTCTTGCATTTTAGGTTTTAGCACATTATTGTTCTATCATCAGACTCCAGTATAAAATATGTTCAGTCAATTGTTGTGCCCAGTTGTGTTCAAACTACATAAAGTCCACAGGACAAAAACTTGAAATGAATAAAGTAAAAATTTTCCGATCTGTAAATAAAATCCGATCCAATTAGATGTATCAAGAGACAATATACCCCAACAGCTTTCGAGTTATTTGTTTCTCAGATGTGACTCGTCTTGGCTAGTTAACTTATGAAATAAGTTTTTTTTCTTTGGTGTGTCTGTCTTCATCAATGCAGATACCAATGCATTAGATAGGTTGGAAGAAAACCACTTTAGTTGAACTGAATGACTGAAGGTAATTAAACTGCAGTAGTGATGTGACCAGTTTAGAGACAATACTAACATTTCTTGATGTCAAAAGTATTGTTATTTGGTGTACTTTTTGTGTATGTAACTTTTCTACTGGATAGCAACAATCGCACTCATGAGGAAGAAGTGATTTATTTTACGAATACGAATGAGTTACAGCTTTTTACAAATGTGATGACTTTGAAGAGTATTTAAGTTGTTAATGTTGTTGTATTGTGTGTAGGCCCTGGACAGCCATGCCCCCATAGTACCTACCAAGCTCCTAGGAGACCCTGAAGAGTTGGACAGACATCTGGTGCAGAACGGATATCCCGAGGTCACCATCCCATATGACAACTACGTCGATCTACAGGTAAACTACATCACTGCCATCTACAACAGACTTTGTGATTGAGAAGTATGGTCATGGACGTTTCTGTAGTAGCAGATTATGGCCTTGATTACTGTGATAGTTGACATGGTTTGTAAGATGAGTTAAAAATAATTTGTCCTTTCAGTTTGGATTGATAAGTTGGCTATGACAAGTTGGCTTTTTTTTGACAAATCAGTAATTTTCAGCAGCACACTGTCAGTGGCTCATTCAACTAGATTGATTTTATCCTGAAATATCACGGGAATGAGTTGTATCTTTGACTATTGATATAATTGGTTTTGTTCAAGGAAAGGCTCTAGGCCAGGATTTTGAATTGTAGAATGAAGAGGATAGCAGTTAGCTTCCTTAAAAAAGTACAGGTAGGCCATATTAGATACAAGAGACTCACAGGATATTTCATCCCCATGTAGCCAGTTTTTGAATCAAGAAGGAGACAGTTGAATCAAGCCACCATCAAACTTTAAACAGTGCTTATGTAAATTAAAGATTGCCCTCGAACATACCACCTCTTTATAACCAAGACAAACTGATAAGACAACTTATTTTAAGCTGTAGCATATTTTATGTCACATCTACTACCTATGTAACAAACACTAAGGAGGAGAATAGAATTTTAGACTGTAGCACATTCAACTATGAGCTTTTTTTAAATAAAATAATTGGGAATATATCTGGTCCACATAGAGGGGAAGCTTGCTTTAGTATCCAAAAGTCAACAAGTCTATCCATTTCTAAAGCTGGTACATTACATCAACTACATATCACTACAACATTTTCTCTTGTGACAGAGTCAAGACGCCCTACAGGTGATGGACGTAGTGCGGCCGCCGCTCCCAACCACCCCTATGCCTCTAATCACAGCCCCTTCCCTGCCTTTGCTCACCCTGGACATGCTGCCACCTCAAACACAGCTGCCAGAGATGGAGAAGTTCACGGTTGAGATACAGAAGGATACCCATGGTCTCGGCATCACCATCGCCGGATATGTGTGCGAGAAAGGTTGGTAGAAGTGGAGTTTTTTTTAAAAAAGTTGGTAAAAAATTCTTTTATACAGGGCGATGGCAGCTCCCCAATCATTCACACTCTCCCAGAAAAAACCCCACTTTCCCCTCTTATAAAACCCAATTTCTCAGGAAAATTCCAAACCCCAAAGAAAAGTGTTCTATCTTCCAGAAAAATCCCATAAATTTTATTTGGGTCTTCGATAGTCCCAAAAACAGTTTTAATAATTTATTGTAAATGCTAACATGTTTTTTTTACCAGAAAAGTTATAGTTTGTCAGAACTATTTTCATGCTGATATGTTTAGAGTTTTGCATTGAGAGTTTTGGTGTCAGTGAAGACAGCGGTAGCTGGGAGTTTTTCTGTAAAAAAATCTTGTTCCATCTGTGAACTGCGATTTGCTAAGTGAACGATTCAACTGGTTTTGACTATAGTATTTCTTTATTTCATTATACCGTACTTTACAATGACAGTAGTAAACATCACTGAATTTGCCTCTGTAGCAGACTCTGTAGATAAATTCATATTTTACACTTATGTTATTGTAGAAAATAGCTAGATAAGTTTTTGGAAAATCATTCAAAATCCTTATTGTAGTAAGTCAGGTGCCGCAGAAACGCTGAAAAAGTTTGTATTTGTTTTGTGACTTAGTCTCAGAAAATTTTGCTCAATTGATGTACAGTAGCTATTTACTTTTTTATGTAAACTGATCCCCCCTTTGTAAATTAGTCTGTCCTCTTTGTTTATTTGTCAACGTTGTCTGTTACTTATTCATTTATTGTTTCAGAGGATCTCTCGGGTATCTTTGTCAAGAGCATCAGTGAAGGCAGTGCTGCCGACCTCTGCAAGAAGATTCAAGTGAACGACCGAATTGTAGAGGTATGTTTATCTTTGCGTTCCAGCTTAAGATAAACTTGTTAACAAAATAAGTTAACAAATCTTTTTACTTAAACTCAAATTTAAACTCATTAGGACACAAAAACAAGTTTTTGAACAATAGTTGACTATGTAACACTGGTGGATGGCAAGTCTCTACAATGCTACTCTAACTTTGAGACTGTATACTTGCTTAGGGCCACAGGACAGAGTGTGAGGTTGACATTGGAGAGGTATCTGAGAGGTCCCAAGTTTGAGCAACACATAATGTTGGTAACACTGATGGTATGTGACAGGTGGATGGCAAGTCTCTACAAGGCTACTCCAACTTTGAGGCTGTAGACTTGCTAAGGGCCACTGGACAGAGTGTGAGGTTGACATTGGAGAGGTATCTGAGAGGTCCCAAGTTTGAGCAACACATAATGTTGGTAACACTGATGGTATGTGACAGGTGGATGGCAAGTCTCTACAAGGCTACTCCAACTTTGAGGCTGTAGACTTGCTAAGGGCCACTGGACAGAGTGTGAGGTTGACATTGGAGAGGTATCTGAGAGGTCCCAAGTTTGAGCAACACATAATGTTGGTAACACTGATGGTATGTGACAGGTGGATGGCAAGTCTCTACAAGGCTACTCCAACTTTGAGGCTGTAGACTTGCTAAGGGCCACTGGACAGAGTGTGAGGTTGACATTGGAGAGGTATCTGAGAGGTCCCAAGTTTGAGCAACACATAATGTTGGTAACACTGATGGTATGTGACAGGTGGATGGCAAGTCTCTACAAGGCTACTCCAACTTTGAGGCTGTAGACTTGCTAAGGGCCACTGGACAGAGTGTGAGGTTGACATTGGAGAGGTATCTGAGAGGTCCCAAGTTTGAGCAACACATAATGTTGGTAACACTGATGGTATGTGACAGGTGGATGGCAAGTCTCTACAAGGCTACTCCAACTTTGAGGCTGTAGACTTGCTAAGGGCCACTGGACAGAGTGTGAGGTTGACATTGGAGAGGTATCTGAGAGGTCCCAAGTTTGAGCAACACATAATGTTGGTAACACTGATGGTATGTAACACTGGTGGATGGCAAGTCTCTACAAGGCTACTCCAACTTTGAGGCTGTAGACTTGCTAAGGGCCACTGGACAGAGTGTGAGGTTGACATTGGAGAGGTATCTGAGAGGTCCCAAGTTTGAGCAACACATAATGTTGGTAACACTGATGGTATGTGACAGGTGGATGGCAAGTCTCTACAAGGCTACTCCAACTTTGAGGCTGTAGACTTGCTAAGGGCCACTGGACAGAGTGTGAGGTTGACATTGGAGAGGTATCTGAGAGGTCCCAAGTTTGAGCAACACATAATGTTGGTAACACTGATGGTATGTGACAGGTGGATGGCAAGTCTCTACAAGGCTACTCCAACTTTGAGGCTGTAGACTTGCTAAGGGCCACTGGACAGAGTGTGAGGTTGACATTGGAGAGGTATCTGAGAGGTCCCAAGTTTGAGCAACACATAATGTTGGTAACACTGATGGTATGTGACAGGTGGATGGCAAGTCTCTACAAGGCTACTCCAACTTTGAGGCTGTAGACTTGCTAAGGGCCACTGGACAGAGTGTGAGGTTGACATTGGAGAGGTATCTGAGAGGTCCCAAGTTTGAGCAGTTGCAGCAGGCCATCGCTAATCAGCAGCTGAAGCCACCCACTCCTAATTCACCCTCTGCCATGTCGCTACCCAAGTACCAGCTTAGTATGGTGAGCATGACACTCTTTTATCCTATAATTTAGGTTAAGTTACATTTAGTTTCGGAAAATATATTTCACCTACTGTTAGAGATTTCAAGTATTATTGCTCAATTTTTAAATCTTATTAGATGGTCAAAATTGTCAAATACCTATCACCACAAAAAACATTGAAACACTCGATTACATCTTTACCAAATTGTAGTGTAATGTCTTTAAATAAATAAATGAATATTAGATAGGGTTGAGAGGGGTCTGTGGGTCTCCAATATTTTCGGGTCGAGTTGGGCTAAAAGATGACCTCAGGGCTCGGTTTGGACCGGAAATAACATTTAGGGCATAATCGGATCGGGTCATAGTTGTAACCGGTTAGATTCTTTTAGCCATGCTGACCTGGGCTTTTACTTTTAGGATGCAGAAAGTGTCTGCGAAGATGCATGATTTAAATTTTATTATAATCAGCGGTGATGTTCACAGATTTTCCAAGATCCCCCAAAGTATTGATTTAGGGATGGACGAGATTGGATTTTTAGTTCGAGACGAGACGAGACGAGATTTTTTATTTCTCATAATATTTCGAGACGAGATCGAGACGGGATTTCCCTTCTCATACACAACGGGAAATGCACGTTCAAAATTTTTACCTGATTTTGTAACATTGTTAAATGACTGTTTAAATACAAAAATAATGATAATAGGCAAGAATATTTACGATCTTTTATTAAAAAACATCAGCATAACATTTTTTTATTAATCACGCCTAACTTATTAAAAATGCCTACGATTAGGAAACATAGTGATATCAGTTAGGATAGAGTTCAACTTATCCTAAAATAAAATAAATCATAAAATAAAAGCAATTTGAATTTTTATAAAATAGTTACTTGTTTTGACTTTTTATAGTAATAAAGCATTCCTCACACTGCTTGCACTTAACAAAACTTCTCAAATGTTATTAAAGTAATATTATTAAAATGATAAAAGTAATATTTACATTTAAAGAATTAATTAAATAATAACGCCTTCGCAAAGGAAACGCAACTACAGCACTCTCCTGTATTGCGGGTATTGCATTGACTTTCTGCAGGCGTTTTTAATTTTTTTTTTTTTTTTTTTTAATTCTCGTCTCGATCAAAATCTCGGCCAAAAAGAAATCTCGTCTCGTGTAACGAGATTTAAAATTTCCCGAAAATTTCCCGAAATTTCGAGACTTGACCATCCCTAGTATTGATTCTAAATTTCATCATGATGTAGGAAGATGTTCCCGATTTGGTTAGGGTCATAGACGGGTTTTACAACTCACCCTGACTTAGGAAGATATTACTGATTTCGCCATGGTCCCTATATATGTATGTAAATATGTATTTGATTAGTCTAAATAAAGATAAGGTTCATGGAGTCCATTGAGTTCTTGAACCATTTATAATCAAATAAAGCTAATCGAACATTTTTATGAAATTACATAATTTAACAAACATTAACATTAAATACGAAAACTGAGAAATTGTTTTGTACAACTGAGATGTAACAGTTGATAATTAATAATTTTTTTATTGATATTTCTTTAAGAAATAAGATGTGTGATGTACATAGATTTTAATTTTAATTTTCAATAATAGGATGGAGAATCAGCAGAAGTGGAGGTGGAGCCGGAAGCCGAGTCACAGACCACCATAGACTCAGCCGTGTTGGCTGAGGCAGCAAATCATGAGGTGAGCAGCAACATACAATCTTTCTGTTTGTTAGTAATGGTAGTAGACGATCCCTCAAATGCCTGTGTGTGGATCGTGTTAAGCAAAGCAACAGGTGAGCTGGTCTAGTACAAGACTAAACTTTACTGATGAATTTTAAGTGGCAGCACAAGTACAAAGACACGCACATGCAACATCATTGACTTTGTGTTGCCCACTGAGCCACTGGATCACCAGACAACACAACAATTATATTTTAAGTATAGGCCTACATTGGAACACAGGTTCAACACACACCCCCTATTAGATTTCAGAATTTTTTAGTTTTTGAAAGACAAGTTCTGAGAGTGCACCTAGGAAAATTAATTCTTTAGCTAAGTCACATGACATGTCATTCAGCTGTCGAATTCAGTTGCCAAATACGGCTGCTTTTCGGTACTTACTTAACGCACTAGGGTCAGGTATAGACGTTTTTCCTAGCTTCTCCTAGACAATTTTTATAGTTCAAACGTTTTTTCTCACCATTTTGCAATGTTGTACCAAACAAATTTTTGTTGTTTCTGCATAAACAATAAAACTGAAAATCATTTCAAGACATGAATTTGCATAAAATGGCATAATTAATCAAGTAATTTTTTATCATGTTGTCACACAGATCAATGTAGAAGACATAGAGCTGCTGATAGATGAAGATTATGATGGTCCTCTCAAGCCAACAGTGGAGGCTGCCATCAAAGCCAAGTGGAACAAGATCTTAGGACCTGACGTTGACATAGTGGTGAGTGTTGGGTGAAATCATTACCTTTTCTGACCTAATGGTGTGAAGGTCCATTTACACGCCACAATTTGTTGGTACAATTTGATTTGCACAAACATAAATTCCTTCATATTACTAGAGTTGACTATATTTTTATTTATTGACTGCCATTCACATGCCACAATATTGTGATCTTTGTTTGCTATGTGTACTAGTTCTCAACAACCTTTTTTGACATTCTGCTTAAAGTGCCTGTCCGTTTGTACTCTCAAGCAAAAGTATTTCTGGCAGTTAACTCTCTGTGTCCTGTTGAGTGTAGCCTTTTCTGAATTTGTCCATATTGTTTCCCATCCTTGTCATTTTCTTGCCATGTACTGTACGTTCCCTCACCTGTCTAAAGTAGCTTAACCCTTAAACGACATCTGATAAATACAAAATCATTTATTAGTTGAAAATTAAGGAAGAAATTACTAACAAAAATAGCCCAAGCTGAGCTGAGATGAGTGTGGTGTGTTATAGGTAGGACAGCTGTGCAAGTTTGGTGAAGGAGGAGGTCTGGGGATTAGCCTAGAGGGTACTGTAGATGTGGAGGATGGCCAGGAGGTGAGACCTCATCACTACATCAGGTCCATCCTACCTGAGGGGCCTGTTGGACAGAACGGCCAACTGAAGAGTGGGGATGAACTGCTAGAGGTAAATTGATGCCACTATACTCTACTGACCTGGTCTGGGTAGCCGAGTGATAATAAAGCTCCCCTTCAAAGTTGAAGGTGTCTGGTCCAATCCCAATATTGTATCTAGACCCAGATTCCATTAGCCACTAAGCTATATCAATTTATGATCATTTCTTACCTACAGTCCTACAGTATTTATTTGTAATTCCTTTGTACCTTTGCTTTTGTAAACCTTATTTTATGTAGTTTGAAGTTGTGTAAATTGAAATTGAGACAATTTCACCTGTTTACCCATTTTTGCTGGTTCAATTGTAAATGTTTATATGAAAATAAATCATTTATTTGTCTTTACTAATAATGCAAAATGTCAATGTTAGATAGTAACAAGACCCGGGATTGGACATTTATTTACATTTCTTTCATTTATTTACACAAAAATATACAACACATGATGTTACGTCAGCAGGTTTATACAGTGAGTCTTATCAATATAAGACTCACTGTATAAACCTGCTCTTGATATTTAAAACAATACCCCCGCCGCAGCAAACCTGCCGACTAAGCGAATTTCCATTTGTCTGAATTGATTTTCAGTTAAATATATTTTAATAACATTAGGTTTAACGAGTACCTAGGTTTGCTGCTACAAGGAAACTAATAAAGTGTGTTTTTGAGTAAAATATTGATAGCTTAGTACAAAATAAATAAATTTGCCAAGTTTGATAAAAATGTGTCCATAAACAAGCAAACTACAACAATTGACAATATTCTCCATAAGAATAACATGGGAATTTTAAATTTACAATTTTTTTAATTTTCTCCGTTCGTTACTAATAATCGAACAAAAATACTTTTATATACTAAATTATTTGTTTTTTTAAGCTCTATAAAAAGATCTAAAGAGAAATCGGGAAATTTTGTGTTTTGAGGGTCAAAAGTGAGAAAACCCAATTTTTACCCCATAAAACCCCCCATAAAGCCCCGTTCCCATGGTCCGATCGTGCTGGTTCGCGAACTCATTCAAGTTTATCCCGCTTTACACCTTTAAACCAAATTTCATCAAAATCGGACAAAAATTACTCAAGTTATCGCGTTCACGGACGTATATATATATATGAAAGCAGTGGATGTAAACTAGGAAATAGAAATTTTAAGGTAGAAAAAATAGGAAAATGGTTAAAATAAGATACCTCACATGTTTGGGTTGACTTCTCTGTAGATGGCCATCTTGCTGCTGATTTTTCCTTCACTACTTCTTCTTCTTGTAGTAGGGATAGGCGGGAAATTTAAATGTATGGAACCTGAATGAGGGTGGTTATGGTTGGTGATGTTGCAACAGGAATGAAAAAGGATAAATTAAAATGTCTCTGGGATTTCAGAAATTAAATTAAATTAAGTCTGGCTCTAACAATATAAGTCTATATATATATATATATATATATATATATATATATATATATATATATATATATATATATATATACATATATAAAAATTTGAACGAATGGTGTTTTTGGCCTCTGGGGACATCAAAATGAAAAAGTAAATCGGTCCCTGGTCTAGGTCTTACCGTGCCACCTACGGTAATAGCTACTTCCCTATAGGGAAATTCGCTAAAATCAAACCTAAGATATTCCTTTTACCATTCAAGTTACGGTTTTGTCAGGCCTCAAGCTGTGTGTTTGATAGGTCAATGGACACCGTCTGCTGGGGATGAACCACATCGAGGTTGTTTCCATCTTGAAGGATCTCCCGGTGAATGTGAGGATGGTCTGTGCTCGAAGGTCTCCGGACTCTACACCTTACCGCCTCATTGATACGTCCCAAGACAAGGCTGCCTTTGCTGCTAGGGTGAGTAAAAAGGAACAACGATTATTTAATCCATCACATTTTGCAGAAAAGCCTTATGACCCATTAGAAATATAGATTTCAGCTATCTCAATTGAAAATTTGACAAAGAAAAGCTGTTTTTTTCCTATTCCAGACACTTTTCTTTATACAAATCTGTCTACTGGCAATGTATTTTAATATGTAAGAATCCTCCCCAAAGAATTCTTATCTGAGAATATGTTGCATACTTAACAGGAGTGTCAATTTTCCCCCATATCTTTTTTGCCATGATGGCGAGACCAATTGTTGTGTATGAGTGGGATTGAATATATTAGTAAATGAATTAAAGAACACAACACTGGTGTCAGATTTTAACTAGCTCGCTTAGCTTAACGGAGAACTGAATTCACAGTCATCACTCACAGATACATAATAAATTACACAACACGACACTGATATTAAGGACTTATCAGTCTTTTGTGGTAGTTTGACATATTTCCAATATACCATTGACCTTTCGGTCCCACTAGCTTTGAATTATCGAGAGTCAACTATACGAACACGGCATATTGAATATCTCTTGTGAAAACTCTCCACTCATCAAAGTGTGTGAAAACTTGTCAACTCATCGCATGTTTGCAGAGTCTTCTCGGTGGTAGTTTGCAGAACCTAATCCCTGCTATGGAGAGGCTCGTCAAAGCCAAATCGGACGGCTCATTGGCGTCCACCACCACAGCCACCACTGAGCCCAGTCTTAGCAAGCTCAAGAGCCGTTCGCTGGAGCCTCTCACAGGCCTCGCTATGTGGAGCAGCGAGCCGCACATCATCGAGCTGGTCAAGGGAGAGCGCGGTCTGGGCTTCTCTATACTCGATTACCAGGTATGTCGGTGCACCTACCACTTCTACATCTAACTGGTGCTGGTGGTGGATATATTGTTGTGTTGAATCTTGACTTTGGATAGAACTAGACATTCCATTGCACGCTGTTAATCCATCAATGTCAAGAAGTTATTTTTTAACCCATACTCATTATTTGTTAAACTCCACAGCTAGTGTCATCAAATGGAGTGACTATAAGCTTAAAGCCCTAGTAATGAATTATATTATTAAATTATTACTGAACTCTCTGTCACATCGACAATCTCTTTGTAAAAACACCAAGGGTTAAAAAGAACTTCAGATTAGCACAGTCTGTGAGTGGTTCATCATTGAACTATGTCCTTTTTTTATGAAGAGGCTCTATCTAGTCTTTATAGATGGGATGTCTATTTCAGTATCTAAAAGTCAATAGTACTTTATCCATTTATTTACTTGAGTAGACAACTCATTGAAAAGGGAATTGGAAATATAATATCTATCCAGGTTGTCTTTGTGCATTGAAAAGTCACTAATCAGAAAACAATTGCCTATTCAGGCAGACTGTATCACCGATTTTTTTAGACCCTCTGATATACAGTACAGTAGAGCCTCGATTATGCACCCCGCATGAATGAAGGGGAGGGAGACCAGGGATAACTGAAAACCACAGTTAATTTGACACGCCATAAACATGTATAACAAACCCATAAAAACACCTTATACTACACAGGGTGTCCCGGAGCCCTCTACCTATATTTTAGAGCATTGTTCCTGGGTAAGAAACATATATAAATATTAAATATAATATTTAAATTGTCAGGAAGTCCTTAGTCACTCACACTCAGATTTTTTAGTTTATGTAACATAATTTTAAGAGGCATCTATTGACCAAGTTCGATCCGCCCGGGTTAATCGAGGTTCTACTGTAGTTTCATAGATCCCATCTGTCAATTTGCTGTTTTTAAAAGATCCATGAGGTGGGCTGTCTACTCAATCATATTGTCAATAAATAATCCTTTTGACAACTATGTTTATACTTTTTTAATAGAAAATAACCACCTTTTTTACTATGATATTGATTTATATACTCATGTATATATTTATGTTTATAACAATTATTACCGCTGCAGTATTGATTTTTTTCAATGAACCTACATTCAACTATCAGTATTAGTAGTTAAATAGGCAATTTTTAAGAATATTTGCATGTTTTATTATGGCCCTAATTTTATTATTGGATTGAATTTAAAAGTTATAGATGAGAGTGTTATATACTTTGCTGTGATATTTATTTATTTTTTTTTTTTCGGCACCCAAGTATGAATGGTTACATTTATCGCATAACTGACCTCGTGCTTTTTTATGTAAAAAAAACTTGTGTCCTAGGTTTTTAAATAAATGTTAAAACAACCAATTGTATATTTCAAGTTTTACCTCTTGATTCTTAAAAATATTAATTATTTTTATGTAATATTATGATTATATTAATAAAAACAAATAGTTTTTTTTTCAGTAACAAATGACAATTCCCTTACAAACCACATCGATCTATTGTATAATAATACAAGCAGAAATAGTAATTAGGAAATAATTGTTATGAATGTAAATTTTGTTTGATTAGAGTTAGTAAAATAAATCAAAAGTTTGTGGGCCTACTTAATAATAGTTAATAGTTTATTTATAAATTTTGGTACACATTTATAATGGCTTTTTTTATGCGGTTATATGTTTGAACTAGTAAATTTGTATGAAAATGTATTACTGCCATAGCCACGTATACGAGCATAGCTTTGATAAAGTTTTATATAATCTTAAAGATAACTTGGTTAAAACACAAGATTTAGCTTTTTTATAATAACATTTAATTCAAATAGTTGTTGAAAACCAAAAACAATGTAAATGTATTACGTTTTAGATTTCCAAAAATAAAAACATAACTTGAATGACTTTAGAAAATAACACTAACTTACACTTTCTAAAAAACATATTAATTTTTGGTAAACTAATCTATAAAAAACAAAAACAAATTAAACTGTTATCATTTTTATTTTCTAGTTAATTGTTGTTTTGAGTTATTTTTTAACACATTCGATGCGGCGGGTCCACCGGTGGACCCCGCGCGTCTCAGCTGAGGAGCGGGGGGTCCACCGGTGGGGGAGCGCGCATTGCATTGTTTGCCGGATCAGTGTGGTTCAGCCATTGTCGGGGGAACGTTGTAATCTTTACCAGCCTGTAGCTTATAATGCGAGCTTTATTCTGGTGTAGGTTGGTACAAAGATTTCCCGTAAAATCCCGTCTGGCAATGCTTTTGTCCCGTTTTCGGGGATTTTCTCAGTTCGAGCCGTATTACAAAGACTCTGGTTATTGATCCAGGCAGTGCTGCTACCTTTGGGTGTTTCAGTGAACTACGTCCACTTTCGGAGTAACGCAGAACAATCACCACTGCTCTTTTGTGATTCGTCTTACTGAGATATTTCAATACCAATAGCGATCGCTGATTCAGTTAGCGCGTCGGGGCTCCGCCCGGGCCTCGCCGCCATTGGCGAGCGCCTGTTTAAAGGTTTTCAGCAGCGAATGTGTTAAAGATGTCAAATTGATCTTTTATCTTGATGGTAGGCCTCCGTAGGCTGTGGAGGCCATCTTGATCTTTGGTAGATGACGTGTCGTTGGATTGCTGAAGATAGTGGCCAACATTTAGGATATATTCCATCCATCTCAGGGTGCAAACTAAAATTTAACTGAAGTTCGAATTAGTTTGCCTCTTAAAACACTATCTTCACCAATGCAAAGTGTGTTCACCTCCCGAGACCAAGATTCATCTGAATCTCTTGAATTTTATTTCTGAGTGTTGATTCTGTCAAGTGTTGTTAGATACTAGAAATCTTGTTGTTGATCTTTTACTGTTGGTGGAGTAAGCTGTTGAAACTTCTCTGAATGTAACCATAGCTCGTAATACTTAATATAGTATAAAATGTAAAATTCTGGATTGAACTACGCTTTCTTTTAACTATTAGGCTAAGCATAAAAAAAAATCATTCTTATGTAAGATTTTAACTCCGAATGCAATTTTTATTTTGTTAATTTTTTGTACCTCTTCTACATGTTTGTCTATTCCATGAATGGACCGATGTTTATGATTTTGGAAGGCTACAGTGCTTTTGCGTTGCAATTACAATTTAATATTTCGTAGCAAGCTTTTGGGAAAACGTTACATAAAAAACATTGGATTATGTTAAGAATTTGTTACTTAATTATTGTGAATATTGTATTATTAAATATTTTAAATTGAATTTAGATAAAAAAGAATCCTAGTTATTTCCAGTATTTTGATATCTGCCATATCATCTAGTCTTAAGTGTTGAACTGTGCTTGTTAAACTTTGAATGTTAATGCACCAAGTACTTCAAAAATCTAGTTTTTAAACTTTGACAACTTTTTGAAACCTTGTAAATTAAATTATTAATCCCTTGTTGGAGTTGAGCAGAAATACTGACTGAGCGATATCTGTAGCCAAACAACTCAAACATGATTATTCTGTAAACAGAGTAGTAAGTCTTTTAGCCCCATAAAGTGATAATATTAGAGAATGTGAGACACAGAACAAAACCTTTCCTTAACACTATGATGGTGATGAATATAACAACAGCTGAAAATTGTCCCTGACATGTTGCATTGCCTGAGAAACAAGCTTTGAACCACCCCGCCAATATTGCCATTGCAACAGAATGTTAGGTGTGATCAGTGTCTAGGAGGTTTTTAGGCATTAGTTTTCTAACCAGAAGACAGCAACAATACTGTCTACGTCAGGTCTGGTGTCGCAGAGCACAAGTCTTGTTTAATGGCAATGACAAATTAAACAAGTGACAATGAGTAGAATATTTAATATCTTTAACTGTACATGGGTGACATCACATAGTTTTCACTTTTTTTCGGTTTGAAATTTTTTTTATCTCACACCTCCCCCGCAAAACTCCTATTAATCATTTGAAACCCGAGTCACATAGCACGGAGCCTGACTCCTCCAGTCACCGATTGCTTGGTGGATTCCCAGAGAGAGTGTAGCTCTGTGTGTCACCAATGGTGCTGTTGTTTTTGTTTGCTATATTTTTATAAATACGTAAGAGTACGTAATAAAGTAAGAGTTTTCAATGATTTTATGTACAGTTTTATTGATTTTACATGTTATAAATACATTTTTGTATTAATGTAAAACAAAAAAAAAACATTTGTCTAATGTTTCAACACCCTGAAAAAAAGCTCTGTGTCACTGAACGTGTTTTAAAATCAAAGACACTAATGAAGGGTTAATATAAAATTCATTTAGATTTAGAATAAAATAAAATACTAAAAAAGAGCGTTGAATTTGTTAATTAGTGTTATATGGTATTAAAGATTTACATGTCAATAAAATACAAGAATGAAACTAGATTTTTGGAGAACTTGGGCAAGTCTTTCTAACTTGTTGTGTTTCTTCTCTATGTACGTGGAGCATTTCACTTTACTCTTGTACCTTAAGCGAAATAAAAGCAATTTATTGAACTTGGTTGTATAAATGAGTTAAAAACCTAAAACTATATGTGAAAAAAGCAAGAGAGAAATACTATGTACTGCAGTAATTAAGTAATATGGCGACAGTGAGTAGATTTTAAATTGTGGTTTATAAACTTAAATTGAAAATTTAACTTTAATTAACTGAAACAAAATACTATGTAATTAAAAACTATTATGTTATCGTTATCACATAATATAGGCTATTAAGTCTTAACAAAAACTGATATAACATTTTTAAAAACCCCTAAAAATGGCCAACATAAAAAATAGACTACTTACATGAAAACTATGAATGGAAAATTGAACCAATAAAAGAGACCTTAAGGGTCAAAACCATAGATAAAACATAAAACAAAGCAAAAAAACTAGTAGATTTCTCATCCTTATGGAACAGATGAAGCCAATTTTATTGTTAGTTCTGTTTTTTGCACTGTAGAGTTCGTGTTTTGTTTACAATTTGTTTCTTGTTATTTCAGTCATTTAAAACCTTCCAAATACAACCTATATCTGGTCTCCTAGTTATATAACCAAGCAGTAAGCACAAATCATAAAAATAACCCTAAAATAAAAGAAACAAAGTTTAGTCTATACTAGCTATCAGTGTCGACGCACATGAACTAGACACGAAAAACCAGCTTCAAAATCTACAGTCGGATGAGGAGTTTACTTGAGTTGGTTTGTCTATGTCAAAACAAAATAAAATGAAGAAAGAAAATCAGCAGACTAAAAGCTAGAGCTAAAAACTGCTGGATAAATAAATAAACAAGAAGCTACAAAAATGGACCATCTTACTCAGCCTGTTCCACTTTGGGAGCTTCATGTCAGCTATGAATAGTATCCGTGTGAATATCATTTAGATATAAATCCACCAACTTTCTAAAATACTGTTTATGTATTTTACCAAAATATAAGCCTAACATTTTATTTCTGTCTTCAAAACATTTATATTTATTCACCTGAAAATCAAATTAGAGAAAATATTCCTGCCTTAGCAAACCTGCAGACAAGCAAATTTCAATTTGCCTTATTGGATTGTCACAAAAACATTTCCTTAAATACAAAATTTTTTCTACTTAATTAATATAATAAGGTTTCATGAGGTCTTGGGGTTTCTGTTATAGGAAAGATAGTAATAATGTGTTTTTCAGTGAAATAAATTTGCCAAATTTGATCAAAACTACAACAGTTGGATTATTCTCCTTAAGAATAATGTAGGAATATTAATTTAAAGTTTTGGTAATTTTTTTTGTAACCACTAAGTGTACAACACCTCAATAATATCATATTATACTAAATCATTTGTTTTTAAGATCCTCAAAACTATTTAAGAATAAATCGCAAAAGTTTATGTTTTGAGGGTCAAAAGTGGGAATAACCAATATTTTTAGAGTCTGGGTCTTAACATGAAGACCTAAGGTAAAAGCTTATTCCCTTTATGGGAAATTGGCTAAACACAAACTAGCCTACAGGAGATCCAAATAATTGAAAGCCATACCTAAGATTTAGATCAAAATGTAGTGATAATTAAAATTAATTTTAAAAGTTAATATGAGTTTGATGATTTGATCGTAAACTCAGTATTACAAATTTGTCCACATTTTAAAAGCAAGAGATCAATTTTACAGAGTTTTCCCAAACAAAAGATTCTTGTGCAGTGAAAAACCTACGGGTATTCACTGATGTACTCTTCCTGAAAGGATCTCAAAGTCTGATTCCATCAAATGATCAAAGGTAAATTGACTACAGTAAAATTGCGTGTTGAATGTAAAGTCGATTGGCTTATCGTAATTGGCATGGTATCGTATTATTGCTATTGTAATAGTATTGAACTCTTGCTTATAAGATGGGAGCGCATGCTAGGTGAACGCATGCGTTTGAACGTTTTGAAGCTTACAACTTATTGTTAGGTGGCCGATGTTTTTTATAAGAGCAGTTTAAGTGTGTTAAGATGTGTAAATGTTTGTTTAAGTAGAAAAGTTAATGAGGTCAATTGTATTTTGTAATTTTCAGTTTTTAGATTCATACATTTTGTTTGTTAGATAGAAATGTACGTTGAAAAATACAGCTGTAAAGAAACGTGATGTGATGTATTATTTAGCTAATTACAGACTGGAATGTTTGTGTTTGTGTAAGGTTTTTCATGAAATTTTGGAATTAATTTAGAAATGTCTCGGTTTATGTTTATAAATTGTACTGTTGGTTTGTAGTTAAAAGCATCAACGATTATTGTGAAAAATGTTTTTTTTTATCAAATAAATAGTTGGCATTGTTACAAATTAATACTGACATGTAGACTAAATTATATGACATAATTATTTCATCTTCATTTGTTTCATAGTTCATACAAAGTTTTAAATTGTTTCTTGGGACTGTTTTTTTAGATCTTTTACTACTAAAGGAAACTTTCTTTAACAATTTTTTACTTAACGTTTCAATTTTCAAACAAATGAATAAAAAAAGTAACAATCTCCAAAATGGAACCTTGGGTACATCCATTACATATTTTTGTTCAAAGTCCTATGATATTTTCATTGGATTTGACTTTGATAGCTAAGAGAAATGTGTTTGATTTTTTATCTTCTTCTTAACTATGACCGTTTGCTATGATCATTAACAATGCTGCTGTTGCATGATTTTTTATCTGTGAAATTATAGTCATATTGTATTATTTTTATGATCTCTGTGGCAACATTCTAATGCTACTGAAAGTCTTTTGTGTCTTGTATTTTGAAAGTTTAGCTTTGAAAGGTCTTATTTTTTAGTTTTAGTGGTAGGGTGTTACCTTTCACTTTTTTTGTTACACTAAAAATTTTGATCTCAAAACTTTAAATTATTCTTGATTGTCTTGTAACTTGTTTATGGTGTGTTATTTGGTATCCATATATAAATCACAAAGTACCCATGTACTTTTTAGACAACTAAAAGTCACACTCCCATAAACAATATACTTAAAATGTTCGTCATGACGAGAAACCTTGCACAAAACTATCCATTATTTTATTTAATAAATTGGACCCTTTACGGTCGTAATTCCTTTCTAAAGGGAACTTTCCATAATATACCTAATGTTAAAAATCCCTCAGCTGTACTTATTTGTTTGTTATTCTTTCAATGTATTACCTCATTAAAATCAAGTGTGATTATTTGTTTGTATTACTGTATTCTGTTTTGTTTATTTCAGCTTAATTTAACCAATCAATAGTTTTATTAATACTTATGAAGTCAAACGGGGTGAAGCACATGGGTAACAGCTAGGTTTTATCAAAAGCAATTTCCTATACTTCTGCATCGGAAAAAATGCCAAATCAGTGCCTTAAAAACCTATAAATGGAAAAAAAACACAATACTTACCTCCCTCGCTGTAACAATACAGAGATATCTATATTTATAAAAGAGGAAGTTTGTATATATATATATATATATATATATATATATATATATACAGGGTGTTTTTAAAAGAATGCCGGGATTTTAAGTAATGATTGATTGAGTACTATTCAAGGTAACTAAATATTTTATACGTCAAATTGAAGTTAAAACAACTAAGTTTTGTTTCCCGTGTAGCAAGGGAGGAAATTTTGACCTTGGCATGAGCAAAACAGGTGCGCGGTGGTAGGCCGCTATTGTGACTCATACGCCTGACGCCAGTCGCCAGTATGACGTTTACGGCGCAACAGAAGGCACAGATTGTAATCTGTGGTTCGCAGAGTTTATATCAATTACTAAATTAAAATAAATTTAAATCTACTTGATGATAAAGAAACTTGAAGCTGGTTTAATGAGTTTTGTAGCACCGTAGTGTTTTGAAAAGATATTCACCTGGCCAGCTAAAAACAAGCAATGCCATAGTCGAAGAAATCCGACAATTCTGCATCAGAAACCCAAAAAAATCGATTGCCTGACGAAGTCTTCAGTTGAACAAAGCTAAATTGGTCACTTTATGATGTTTTCTGTAAAAGATAGAGTCTTTGTGCCTAAAAGGATTCGTTTAAGAGATCAGATAAACCTGCCGATCACCCTAATCGTACAGACTTTGCCAGTTTTACGCTCATATAAGGTTGATGAAAATCTGAATTTTATTAAATCATTCCAAATTGTATCAAAGAATGAGGAAAAAACTTCGTTCTTTTTCCTTCAATTTGACGTTTAAATCATTTAATTATCTTGAATAGTCCCCGAGCAACGACCGTTTAAAATTCCGGCATTCTTTTAAAAACACCCTGTATTTCAACGTTATGAACTCTGAAACCGCTCGACAGATTGTAATGAAACTTTCAGGCATTATTAAGCATTATTCAAGGGTGGTTTGTGTGAAGTTTGGTGCAGATCTGTCAAAAGGGCTCTGCCCAGTGGCTCTGGAGTTTCCCATGTTAACCTTATGAGTACTCATATTTAAATGGAATTAAAGAATCTTAACAGCTGTGTAGGCCTAAACCAAACAATTTGATTCTGTGATGATCAATAGCATCAAAAGGTTACAAAATGTATCAACAGGGTGCAGCACTATTAATTGTCTAAATTTATGACAACAGTTGCTAATTTCAACCAACCAGCTGTGATACAAAATTAACCGTCAAAGTAGGATTTTTTACAGTTATGTTTATGTTTTTAATTTAATAAATAATTTTTGATAGTCTGTGAATAAGCAGTTTTATTTTTTAAGTGTGTAAATCATTAACTTCATTAACATCATCGACTTTCTTTTTTCAAAAATGTTTATAAAAATCTATTGAATTTGTATGGTTTATTTCCCAAAAAATAATGTATGGGAAATAAAAGTAACTAGTTAATATTTTAAGTTAATACTTTTAGTGGATTACTAAAAGTTTATCTACATACAGCAGATCTATGGAATAATAATATTCTCTTAAGCGTTCTCTTCCCGTTGCGAAGCATGGGTATGGTGGCTAGTAAATTATAATACACAATGTGCAGTTGAGCAATCTTTAGCTGGTCTTTTATTAACAGAATTATGTATTATACTTCTTGTGATTTTTCTTTGAATTTCAGTATAATTAGCTATGTTTTGTTTGCTGGTTATTACAAATTACAATAATTAGTGATGTTTAGATCTGTAATCAATATCCACACACCATTAAAAATATATATTACCCTGTATAATCTATATTCTGAATAAAACTATAATGATCTTTGCTACAGCCTTACTTTGTTGTATCAAATTCAGCAAACTTTTCTTTCACAGGACCCAATGAACCCGAGCGAGACGGTGATCGTAATACGATCTCTGGTGCCGGGCGGTGTGGCGCAAATGGACGGCCGACTAATCCCCGGTGATCGTCTGTTGTCCGTCAACGACGTGTCGCTCGACCACGCCTCACTAGACCAGGCCGTGCAGGCTTTGAAGGGTGCTGCGAAGGGAGCGGTGAGGATCGGAGTTGCCAAACCGCTGCCAATACCCGACTCTGTCAGCCATAGTCAGGTGAGTAATGAGGAGAGTACAACACAACATCAGGGCGAGTATTACAACGATGTACTGGAGGGTGGGGCGAACATACTCAAGTCTGAGAGCTTCTAAACTGGGCGATTAAAGGCGGTGGGGAGGGGTAGTTTTGGTGGAGGAGAAAAAAAAACATTTATAATCAAATTCAAGAAGATTTATTTCACAATTGTAAATCAGTTGCAACTGGCAACAAAACTTAAACTGAACTTTAAACTTAAACTTCACCCAAAATACAAGTCCATGAATTAAAACAATATTGTGACAGATGACAGATATTTTTCTATACATACTCTACACACTCTTGTAGAGTATGTATGGAAAAATATCTGTCTCAGTAATGCTATTTAAGAGGATAGGAATTTTTATATTTTATTTATTTTAATTTTGTGTGTTTTCTACGTGACAATGACATTTTTTACGTAATGAAAGGAAACGGTACAAACCCTGGTCTTGTTACTATCTGACTCATCCACCATTACAAAACCCTCTCTAATCCGCTGATGGTAAAGGGAATGCAATAATTTATTTAAGGTTTTCAAAGGGTGTTTTTACCAAAGCATTTCCTTAACCACTTGTGTTTTGTGTAATACCAAAATTCACAATTTTATCACAGCTGTTATTTTATCACTATAGTCACAGCTTAAGCGGCAATTGTATTTTCTATCTGATGTTAGTTTGTCACAATAAAAAAGTCAAAATAAACATATTAAAGCTCAAGTAGGATGTAAAAAACAAAAGGAACATAAACTTGACCGCTTGTTACGTTTGTTGTTTTGTGACACTAGTATTAGATTCATATTTTGTTAACATGCTCAAAATTAGAAAAGTCATTTGCTGTTGTGCATAGATTAGCAAACACTCAATAGCATCTGTTTGGGTAATGGGGAATAAATTTTTATCTTAAAAAAATGAAGCTGCATTGTAATCTAATATTTTAATTTGAGATTTGAAAAAAAGTATGTCCATAAAGATTTATCTTTTAACATGGAAAAATTGTAATTTGATTTGTTTACTTTTATTCTTATGTAAGTAAGTACCTATTTTATTTGATCATAATGAACTTATATTTGCCTTTATATTTGCTATGTTCGCCTCGCTTACCTGAATTTTATAATTTTCAGTGTAAAATGTATCAACCGTGTTCTTAAAATATTTCTCCTTACCTATGTATTTTCAGTTATCTCCATTTACAATGGTATTATTATGTCATTAGGATTAGTTTACTGTAATATTCAAATTAAATTTACATAAAAAACTATTAATTACTTTTTACCTCTTTTAAAACTGTTATAAATTTCTACTGTTTGATGCTTTAAAAAAAAGAAACATAAGTTTTTCCATACTATCTATAAGTTAAACTTTGTAAAAAACTATTTTCACTATCTAACTTTTTGACCACATTTACTGAAATACTGATTTCAAGAAAATTTTGATTGACAATCACTTTTTTAAGGAGCCACCTGCAGACAGCAATATTTTTTTAAAAGCAGGTGAAACTATTTTAATATGATTGAAAATTATTTTCAACTTGAATCAATAGCTTTACTTTGATACTGTAGCTATTGGTATATTGATAACTTATATTGATACAGGATCCTCTACTTCAGAATTTGCATACTGTGTGCTCTACAATAATTTAATTGAAATATTTTATCAGACGTCTTCCAAGCTACAAGTTAACTTATCATCACATTTTTAAAACAAATTGAGGTTCTTAACCTCAGTAATTTTTTTTTTACTTTTTACTTTTTTTTGCACAGTGCTATTTACTTTCCCACCCAATAGTATTATTTATTGAACTTGTTTTGCCAGGGTATTAACAGATATTTATTTTAATATGATGTCCGTATTAGTCATCGTAAGTTATTGTATTATAATTTTATTGTTCCTGATACTATGTATTCTAGATGTGTTGTTGTGATTGTAACCATCCTGATGCAATGTATAATTTTTAATATCAGAATTTGAACCACTGATCTTATAGGAAAGTTTTATAATTTTTTGTCTTAGACAAACTACATGCAATTGTTTTTTTTTCTTTTTCTGTTAAAATAACTTTGGTTTTACATTGCCGTTCAAATGTTGCGGAAGAAATTGATAATAATTTTCAAAATCTTTCCCTTTTTCTTCAAATTCATAATTAGTTGGAAAAAAGTTGTAATAACAAATTGGGCTACAAGAATTAACAACGAAATATCAAATTTTATCCAAGTTTAGCATAAATACCTAGCATGCTAAAGTGTTTCCTTGTGCTATTAATTTTCAGTGTTTCAGAGTATTGTATGTTAAATGTGGCACTATTAACAACATTTCACACTTTTATCTCTTTTTTTTTATTTAATTTTATTGAGAGTTAGATATAGTTTAATCCAACTGTTTCCCCACAGAGTATTGTAAGTTTATACTTATTTCCAACTAGTTTGTTTGAAAAATAAAAAAAAAAGTTCCGTCGTATTCTTTTAATATTTTAAATTTACAAAAGTCCTATTTTGCAAGTATATTTTACAAGTAATTTAACATCCCTCCGCTCAGTATTATTTTGGATAGTAGAGTGTTCACTGAATGTTTACAATGATATCTCACAGTGTTGGTTTTTTAGCACTCACTAGTTGTCTACTATTTATGTGAAATTCGTTGGATCCGATAGACAAGAATTTAATATTGTTCAATGAATGTGGTTCCGGGATTTATATGTTTGATCAAAGTTAACAAATAAATATTTTTCATCACATTAATAAATAAAATCATGTATTCTAGATATCCGAAACATTGGAATACTGGAAGTCAAGTATTAATGATTATTTATGTTTACCTTCTGGCGTTCCTATTGCGTGAATTGTTATGAGGAAGCCATATAGTGGATGCCTGAAGATGTCACTGTGTTGACAAAGCATGTCAAAAATTTGCTGCAAATAAAACGCCAGAAGGTAAACATTAATATTCATCCAAAGCCTTGCATTTATTTAAAAAAGCATTTATTTTCTACTTTTCCTTAAGCTATGTATTATTGCATTCCGAGTTATTCTTTGCTTGAATTCATTGTTACCCTTTATAAGGTATAGGTTTATTTAGGTTTCTTTAATCTTAGCCAAAGCTTTTAGTACCATGACACATATTATAAGTTTATCTAGTGTAATTTTACATGTATTATCAATGTTGTTATTTAAATTACGTTATTTATTGTTATTGACGGTGAGTTCAACTGAGCTTCCAATATGATTACGTCTGTTTGTGAATTTGCTCTGGGTACTTTCTTCATTCTTTCACCTCGTCATTTTCTGTTAACCGGTTTTGCATTTCAACGAAGCACTACGGAGCCAATATATGTAAGTTGCTCGTTATCATACTTCTGATCTCTATTTCTCTTTCCATTTTTATAATTTTTTTTCAATTCTTTTTCATAAAAAATTCTGTCAGAAGACGGGCTGAAAGGACGGGAGGTACCTAGACAAATCGGAGTTGAGTCAAACCGAGCTTGTGTTAGCGTAGTCGGTTACCAGGAGAAGGTGGTTGTGGCACTCAATGTAATTTCGGGAAATATATTATTCTCTTGCATATTACCTTGTGGTCTTTGATTCCCCTCGGATCTGTCTAAGTCCCATCCTCCCCTCCCTTGATGCCGAAAGCAGCTTCAAGTCAACATTTTGACAGAATTTTTTACTATCTTTTCAACACTTTTTAAGTTTGACCTTTAGAACATTTCTCTTTACTTGAGTCGGTAATGGAGTGCATGAGACATGATATAATTTCAAAGTGTGATAATATATGTGATTTCTTCCATATTTGCCAAGAAAAAAAATTTGCTAAAAATTATGGTTTTGGAACATAATGTAAGAGAGTGATAAATATTGATAGCTTAGAAACAAAAAAAAGACGGTTGTGATTATTATAAATGACAAACTTTTTGAGCTTAAAGTGCAACACAGGGTGGCCACAGATAAAAAATTTTGGGTAAAACCGAGAACTATGTGTAAATTTATTTTACCAGGGAAACTAGGAGCTATGCGGGAATTTTAAAAGTCCGTCAGGATAAATTTGTTTTAGTCTGCCGTCACAGGAAAATTATGAATGTCTTCCCTGGTTACAACAAAATGACGAATTCGTAAACATCTTCCTGCGGTAACAGTAAAATTGATAACATTTCCCGCGTTCACGGGGATATCACAAAAATCATCTGCTGTCACGACAAAATCTTAAAACGCATCTTCCACGGTCACAGGGAAATCATTATCATCTTTTGGGTTCACAGCAAAATCATGAACTTTGTCTGCGGTCTTGGTGAAATCATGAATGTCTTCACACGGTCCTGGCAAAACTATCAACATTACCCGCAATTGCTGCAAAATCATCAGTTTTTGGTCATGTATCTTCGTAAAGGTTTTCCATGATCGCAGTAATATGTGCTTGGATCAACTTGACCCAAGCTTGGTTCGACAATCATTATGGGCTTGTACCGATCTCTTGAGCCAACTGTTGGCTCGATTTGACCCGAAAATATTGGGAACCTGCAGACTCCTAGTAAAAGGTACAAGAGGCCAGAAATCTTAACAGGGAAAACCAAGTTTTGCTCCCTGTAAAATTGGGAGAAATATGGGAATTTCTTTCCAGGAGTTCTGTGGCCACACTGATAACAGTAAAGATAATTAGAAATGAAAAATCTACCTTGAGAAACAAAATGAAAGTGTATTGATAATCGCTAAAACATAGAAAGATATTCCAATAATCTCAACTGAAAAAATCAAGGTACACTCAGAAATTGATATTTGCATTTTGAAGATTAGTTTAAGCATTCATAGTAAAAAGTACATAAATGAGTTTGGAGGTTGGAAGATACCCAAGTTTTTTAAACATGAAGAACAGCATGTTTGTCTCTTTATAGCCAAAATAATTTTGAACATTAATTGTATTTGGTTTACCATACATTTTACACATTTTTACTTAGTTATGAAAATAGTTTGACTAACCATTGACAAGTTCCAAAAAATATACCTGAGGACTTCAATATATTTTTCAATGAATACTGTTATTACTGTAGCATAGTTGCTCATGGATTTAAATGATAAACCAACAAAACCACTCATTATACTAGTTGAATTTAAGAGGGAGTTTATAGCTCGAAGACAAAAGGGATCTTCATGAAAACTTTTTTCAATCTTCTTGAGATGTTTCTGCTGCTTACAACTTACAACAAAGTCTGTGAGTAGTTATGTACAATTAAGAAACAGATTACGCTCCCTTACCTCAGTCTTAGTCCAAAATTTGCATCAACAACTATGCTGCTGAATAGTTTTATGCAAGCATATCATTAAATGTTTTTTGTTGTTTTATTTTTTTTTATGGTTTGACTTGTTGTTTACTTTGAAAGTGTTGCGCTTGCAACAAAACTGTGTGCTGACTATTGATGATAATTTCGGACTACAGATAAAGGTAAGATTTTTTCATAAAAGGAGTTCAAGGGCTGGAAGATGGATTGCTATAACTAAGAAAATTCATGAATAAAAATAGGGAGTTACATCAGTTATATTAGTTAAGTAGTAAGTTTCATTATCCCATTACTTTTACTATGAGGTGATGGTCATTTAAACAACAGTACCAGGAGGACCGACCGTAGCTTGGCTTTACAACCTAATACAATAAACAATGCCGCTAGTTTACTATTACACGCTAACTTCAGTTGTACAGGTATTATCTCACTGTCCTCCAGTCATAAATTAAAAACCTATCTGCCAGAGTGGTTTAAAACATTGAGTGCTTTCCTTCCAATATAATATGAATATTAAGTTATTTGTGCCATACAGTCTTTCTCAGCACAATTAATTTTTAACTTAACCAGACAAATTCTGTACTTTACAATCTATTTTATGTATCCTATATTCTAATATGAGTAATGTTTGCTTGTATGCTTGCTTGCACAAAGATCTCGAAAACGGCTCCGATTTTCTTCAAATGTTGTAAATAGTTTATTCCTGGCCTAAAAACAAGTTTACTGCAGTTAGAACTACCAACAAAAATCTAATTACATAAAAAAATTAAACTGAAAGTCAAATTTTTTTATTATTAGTCTTATGGGTTGCTAAGTAACCATGTTGGTTGAATTAAATAACAAGGAAAAAGTAAACAAAAGACTTGTAAGTTCTAACACATGTGTTTATAAAGGCATCTACACACAGTATACTAGAAATTACAAAATACAGTACAAAAGCAAAAACATCACTTGTTACTATTGAGCAATGATTATACTGAAGCTTACTCGATACATCGTAGTAAAGGCTAGCAGTGCGGAGTGTGGGATCTGTTATGACGATTAGATTAAGGTAGATTTCCCATCCTTATGGAACAGCTGAAGCCAATTTTATTGTTAGTTCTGTCTGGTTTTCTGTAGATGTCGTGATTTGTTTACAACAGTGAGACACAAATAATGAGAAACTAACCCTAAAATAATAGAAACAAATTGTAAACAAAACACGACATCTATAGAAAACCAGAGACAGAACTAACAATAAAAGTGGCTTCAGCTATTCCATAAGGATGGGAAGGTATATGCGACGTAGGAGGTGGTGAAGTAAGTAGTCAATGCGAGCTATCCTGAGTGCGGGAACTGTTTATGACGTTTAGATTAAAGTATCTGCAATTCTAAAATGCTATGGGAAGGTAAGGAAACCGGTCCGTGACGTAGGACGTGGTAAAGGAAATACTGTAGTAAAGGTGAGTGGTCCGGAGTGTGGGAACTGTTTATGTTTACGACGATTAGATTAAGATATATACTATCCTAAAGTTCTATGAGAAGGGAGGGAAACAGAGGACGTAGGAAGTGGTGAAGGAAGTAATAAAGGCGAGTAGTCCGGAGTGTGGTAACTGTTTATGACGATTAGATTAAGGTATCTGCAATCCTAAAATGCTATGGGAAGGGAGGGAAACAGGTCCGCGACGTAGGAAGTGGTGAAGGAAGTAGTAAAGGCTAGTAGTGTGGAGTCTGGGAACTGGAAACCAATTGTAACAGTTAGATTTATGTATCTGCAATTGAAATACTTAATTGCTATGAGAAGGGGAACATGTCCATGACGTAGGAAATGGTGAAGGAAGTAGTAAAGGCTGACATCGCTGAGTGGGGGAATGATTTTCCCCCAGCAAAGCTCGGTCCCCTGGTACTTGTTATTAATGCACAACAAATTGCCGATAAATATAACCTGTTTTTTTTCTTTTACAAAAATGTATTGAGGAATTTTGCAAACAATCCTTCTAATTGATTGATAAGATTTGTGTGTGTGCACCTACAAAGTAAGTCATTGTTATTCATTGATTTATACAATTTAATGTACAAAGGAAAATCTATATAATTAATACGGGAACCCGAAGTTTGTCGGTTGAACTCTTCCGCCATTTCTTAACCGATTTTATCCATTGACGTCTCATTGGAAAGAGCGTGTTGGGTAGATTTGCAAACTGGCCTTGCATTTTTTTAAAGTCCCTTGGGCTCTGCCCCAGTGGCCTTTAAAGTTCCCATTTTATCCTTATGAAGAACATAATTGCAGGCCCACTTTTATAAACGGGCAGACTGGGCATATGCCCAGGGGCGCCGGTGGTTGGGGGGCGCCTGAGGGGCGCTCTGAACCACCGACCGCACTAGGAAAAATAGGGTTTTATCAGCCGGGATTTCAAAAATAAAATGGGTGATTTCAACTTTTAATTAAGTGATTTTCTCTTATTGAAAAAGTAAATAAATACAACAAAATTGAAAATACTTGACCTTCAGGTTATATACCTCGTGTAGTCAGGGAAAGGCAGGCAGCAGTGTGAACCGGGCACACTCACTATACTATCAGAGGCAGGGAGAGGGAGGCCTGCATGGTGGAAGGAAATACATATAGGTGTGCTATTCCCGTCATATGCTGACGTCACTCAGATTGCAAACACTATTTTACCATTGAGAAAAATTATAAAAACAATAACAATCAAATCAAAATATACTTATATGGCAATACATCAGCTGATTTTTTTTTACAGTTTTTGGGTGACGTCAACAAATTACGGGAATAGCACGTAGGCCAGCTGTAGTCTACAGGCCTATGGTTGATGTGCCCCTCCTCTCTCTCCCAGTCCCACCCCTATCCCCACAAGTCACAACTACCAACTACCGCGTGGCGCCAGTCCAGTACAGTACTCCTCCCTGAGTAGTCAGTAGGTTGTGTCCGTGTTGTGCCTGCTGCACAGTCGTCAAATCAGTCACGTCACAACACAACATAAACTATGACAGTCACTAGTCAGTGTTGACACTCACACTGCAGTTAGAAAACCAGTAATAAATAAATAGAAGTGTTGATACAAGTAAGTAGGCCTATAAACAGTGAAAAATGCATAAAAAACCTAGTGGAGCCGAAAGCCGCAAGTGGTTGGCTGAAATAAAACAAACTCAAGAAGCAGTTTTAAAGATAAAGTGAAATGTATTAACCAGTATTTCCACCGATACGGAATTGAAAACTCCCTCCCGAAACAAAACTGGTAAAAAAACACGCTAATGTATAAAAATATATATGCATAGGCCTATAGAAGAACCACAGAAAAACATACTCCCTTAGTAGAATCTCGTTCAATACTGTACGTGTGTAATGCAATGAACTGCACACTGAACTGCATACCGAAAATAATCAAATCACTGCGTAGTGCATTAAGCTATTGGCGCAGGGAAAGATGCATTCGCATAGCAACTACTGTCAAGTTCATTGCACTCACCTGCTGTGAATTTCGGCGAACTGATGAGTCAACCCCCTTCCCTCTTCCCCTCCCTACACTGCTGTGGTCAAAACCTTTATAGTTATATATATATATATATAAGGGGGCGCTGCTTTTGGGTTTGCCCAGGGCGCCACTGACCCTTAACGCGGCCCTGCATAATTGTTTACATTTTGATCAGCTGTATAATTTAATTGCTGTTATTAATTTTTCAATTCAAGGAAACGCATTAGGTACATTTACTGATTTTTTTAAAACTAAATATTTACTATTTTAATTTACATTCGTACATATTACAATGTAAAAAATCAAGAAAGCCTGGGCAATTTGATATATTTTACCAAATAAGAAAAATTAATTGACAGGGTACTGTAATTCTTGAGCAATCATTGAAAGAACCGATTTGTTAACCATGGAAACATAGGAAAGTAATAGAATGCCACCAAGTAGAAGAAATAGAGATTTAAAAAATACTATCGTTGTCATCCTATATAATGAAGAACACCTACAATATGAAGATTCCCACAAACAATGAACAAGGATGTTAGCCGAAGTGCTACTATATTGTAGTGAACATGGACTTAAATTTATGATGATTGACAAAGGTAACCCCTCTAAGGCCGAATTAAACTGGTACGGCAAGGACATTAAATATATGTTTTCATAAAAGTCAAGTGGTTTTAAAATAATATGACTATATCCAAGAAACCTTAATAAAACTTGTATTTAAGGATTCACATTATTATTCGCATTCAAGGGAAACAAAAATCCATCTGAACAACATTAGGCCTTTCAATTCTGCATTGTTCAGGTAAATATAACTTACGTTATAACAGTAACTAGCCAAATTAATGCCAATTGAAGCAGATAAAATTGTAACAGAGAGGTTGTGCAGAAAATCAAGCAGTTCTTAAGTAATGTAAACAAAATTTTATCGCTATAAAAAATTACTGAAATTTGTAAACTTTCTGGCGACAATGGGTAGTACCATGCTGACTACATTATCATTGACGAAGATCAACATGGACAACTTAAAGTGGCTATAAGTGGGAAACATTTGTAGAATACCAGATCAGCTTTTGAATACACTAGTTGATTATTAAAAAGTCAGAACTAATTGACAGAAAATACTTTACGCAAATACATTGACATGTCACCAAAAAAAAGGTCTTATTTTGAAGTGAATCCCCTATTATAAACGTTTCTAACATGTTTAAAGCACATTAGTCATTAATTAGTTTATATCAAACCTGACTCTCAAGAGATTGTAGATAAGCTGGCATCTTTCCAAAGGTTCCTTGTTCATTTTCTGATTAAGAGAACTTAGTCGATTAATTTTTGGCAAAAAGACAACTGTTTTATTTCAGGTAAACATTAGCTTTCAGAGGAAATTATTTAGGTTCCGGTAGCAACTTGCTTTCAAAGAATCCTTAGTGAGTAATTTTATTATTCCTTAGCTTCAAATATAAATCATGTAATCATGCTGTAAATCACAATAATTACATGGATTTGGATTTTATTTTAAGGTCATAGAAAATTGAGAAAAAAGAAGTAGACTCTTCCACTCTGGTGAATCTGACACAATTTGACACTGCCAAAGAACCTTTTAGGTGTGCAAGTGATAAACACTAAATTTAATTTTCCATTTGAAATAATTAGTAAAACAGAATCACAATCTATCTATACTATAATATGAGTAACGGTTGCGCACAATGATTTCAAAATCAGCTCCTACGATTTCCTCCAATTTATTAGAAACTAGCAGAGTACCCGTCCTTCGTACGGGGTTGGCATATAAGTATAAAATGCTTATTGCAGTTATACTCAAGCTTTGCATTTGCAATGGGGGAGGACACATTTGAAGAAAATTGTTTACTATAATAAAATTTACGGTATACTATAGTATTACACATCTACCATGGCCATAATGGTCTACCACTTCACCTAAACAACAGAGACGGATAAACTCACAAACTTTCAGATTTATAATATTAGTAAGATTTGCAAAATATCACAAATTATTCATGAAATTAAAAACATAAACATAACTGTAAACATTCCTACTTTGACAGTTCTCATTGCATATCACAGTTTTTTGTTGCTGCTTAGTTCAAATAGTCAATGGTTCAAATTAGCTGTTCATAAAAGCAAAACTAATTATAGTGCTGCACCCTGTTGGTAAATCTTATAACTTTTAATGCTTTTGCATATCATAGAACCAACTTTTTGAGTTAAAACAGC